CCTTCCTCCGAATGTACACCAGACCTCACATTGCAATGCCAACTCACCACGTTCTGAGGGAGATAGCCAGGGCCACGATACCTCATCCACCATATAGCATTGGCATCGCTCTATCGGACTATCGCCTCCCCTGCGCTTTGAATAAGCATCTGCCAGAGAAGAAAGTTAAACGTTGACGACATCGCGCGTTTTGGCATTTTTGGCCGCGTGGGACCAGAGCGGTTCTGCGAGCGCCGCCGCCTCACAACAAATCTGTGGATTTTGAGCTTTAAATACGCAATACTTCGATGCGACAAAATGTTTTCACTGATATTCGGGTGTGTCAAACTTATTGGAAGGTACACATGTGAAAGTGCGGTCGAATGATGTGTTACAGCATTGAAAAGGCAAGTTTCACTTACTTTTGCTTTAGTGATTTCAAAATTATTTTGGACGTGGTTGTTTCGGTAAAAACACATATCTTGCCACACGAGTAGCTTTGTACTCACTTCTAATATTCTTTTTTATCTACATGTTCGTGTTAATGAAGAGAAAATGAGGAATGAACTGAACGGATATTTTCGTCCGGTCCGAAAAACCTCTGCCAAACTAAAGAATATTTGGTCATTCTATAAGCCGCGTGGTTCTTGGTTATGTTGTGGTATGGCCTAAAAAATGAACACAAAAAACCTGGGAAGAAATGGCGCGTTCAAGATAAAACTGAATGTAAAGGGTGTGGCAACTATAGTTGCCACAATGTCCATTGCGGCGTGCAAAACGCGGCAAACCTAGTTGCCGCGCTGTCGTCAAGGCGTTATAAAGATTGCGGTCACCCCAAAAACGACTTCTCCATATTCTTCAACCCCCAGTTTCCTTCATTCTGGGCTGGAAGCTTCCAAACGCCCACTAGTAAATGCACGCATATCAGTGACCATGATGGTGGTTATGCTATTAGTCAGTTGTTTCCCAGAAGAGATAAAACTTGAATAAACAAAAGTGTCGAAATTGCGACAGGAATTATGAGACAACCCAATATAATAATCCTTGATTTCACGTAGTTGCAGCGCGTTCCAGAGATTGTTTTCCGTTCCCTCTGCGAAAGAAAGTCCTACGGCAAACATTTCTGGAGCGTCTTCTAACCAAGGCATTCATCATTACCAACTAGCTCGACACGCCCACCGTCATCGCTTTTGCTTGAAGCAGCCACGCTCTCTACCGAGTCGGCGTTTCACAGCGTCGGAGATCGTGGCTATGATCATGTATTGCAAACCAGATTGCAGTTCAGGCAACGTCGAAATGGTCCGCCATCTAGTTCTGTGTTCTCGGAAGGTCGACCAACCCGTACAGGCTATTCTGATACTGTGCGCTAGCTACTGAATCCCCTTTTTGACACAAACGCCAGTCACTTGTGAGCTGCACATCCTACGATGGCGGAATACCGCGCGTCGGACTCCATCGGCGGATTCCAAGGTTTTTGCAGAGGTCACTGAAATGTGCTGTGATTTAGTAAACTCCTGCTCCGGGATGCGCCATTCAATCGTCTGCGATAATTATTCGCAGCGGTAGTTGGATGTCTATCCCCCCTGCCAAGTTCCATTGCTGTACTTAAAATATGTAACTAGTTCTAAGCATACGATCCCTCTCTCCCTCCGACTGCATATGCTGAAATACATCCTCCTCGTTGATCTTGCGCAACGGCGGTTATGACCCTGTCTGTTAAGACCTAGCACCATGTTCGCGTACTTTTTGTCGCGAAAAATGGCACATCCTAGCAAATTCTCGCGGCAATTCTATCTAACAGAAAGGTTCCAAACAAATCCCATCCGGTGAGACCTTTCCAGCAGAGAGAAGCAGGTAAGCAAAATAAAAGGATGAAATTTTAATCAATAAAAAGTAAAGATCAATGCTGCATCAACATAACATAATTAACGGTTTATTTGGCAAATTAATTGTTGATACTCGATATGGTTCAAGACACGATCTTGACGAATTACATTGCCAATTCAAAAGGAGACTGCGCAAAATGCAATACTTCGAGTAATAGGCGAGTATTCGGGTAGCAGTCGAATTAAGCTAAACATTGTACATTAGTTACCATTGTGATATAAATATAACTCTTCTAAATCAAGGTTGATGATCTTCAAAAATGCTAGTAGCTTTAATATTAGTTTCGTGACGCTTGCATAATGGCGATGAAGTTCCTTGATTTTCCTGAGAAAATTAGCGGGGGGGGGGGAAATTTTTATTAACAAGAAAAAAATCAAAACAAAACTGATATCACTCACTACGGAAATGCAACCATTCTGTTGAGCAAATTGTAGTACCAACTTGTACAGCGAAAGATATTGATCAAAACTTTGTACGGCTAAGGCTCGGCATCGTCGAAGACTACATACTATCTAAAGGCAAGAATCAGGATTAAATTGATCTAGTAATTGCACTCAAATATGAAAGTAGGGATGAGAGGTGGACTACATTGAATGGGGCAGGAGGAGAGAGAGAAAACGCGGAAATATACCCGGGGAACGAGCCTTTTGCTCTACGTTGCGGAGAAGTTCAAAAGGCACAGGCAGGGAGATGAGAGATAATGTGAGCGCGGAGAGTGGTAGAGAAGTCCGAGAGAGAGAGCATAGCAGATCAAGTTAGCGACGCAGACAAGATATCGAGCGGTGGGCGGACCATGTTAAGTTTGGTGGAGTCTGTTAGAGTCCATAGCGTCTAGCGTCCTACCAATTAGTGGCGCGTTTCAATGTAGGAGGTGGCGCGACCCCTGCACTTGCTTACCTGGCACTTCTAGCTACGGTAAAGGGCTTGTTAAGTGGGACTGAGCCCGATCTTCGCCTTTAATTATAAAGATTTTAGCTTCTTTTAATGACTATAAAATTTCTGATGCTATCCTAGGATACGGGACAACCTAGGATTGCCTTATAAGCGAAACAAGAGCCCGACGAAAAATTAACCGATGCATCTCACGATCCTTCTAAGACTTAGCCCGGTTTACTCGCACTCTCACGAACAACACAAAAAGCATGTTGGTGCGATTGTGGATTGGTGGCCTAGCCGCAGGTCTCGATATGTTGTGATAGCGCTACTTTGAACAAAAAGGATCGAGCCTAAAAAGAACATAGTAGATACGCCAACGAGAGTAAATTCTTGTCTATATAAGTATAACCTAACGAAGGAATGTCATTGGACGAGATATTCGCTGACGGATCATTAAACAATCTCCAAAGTACCAATGTGACCACTCCGGCCAAAACCCACAGCATGACAATGAAACAACTTGAAATTGAAAACTATCGAGGGCCATAGCATTCAAGATACATATCAAACACTGTGTAACAAATATTAGGATATATCAAGGTCGACACACTAAACTATGAAACAAGCCTGCAAAATAACGACCGTTTCATAACGGTAGACTAGGCGGACCACGAGATATTATATGATACCGGATAGATATGTCAAGAAAGGCTGGGCGGCGAGGCAAAAAAAAACAGACGAGAAGACGAGAGAGCATAGAGAACAAGCGAGACGCAGATGCCGACAGCATTTCGCCAACAGGGTTGAGCGCACAAGTTGGATACCGTGAAACTTTGCATGGAGACTTCAAAGACAGAAGGAAGTGCGGAAATGAAGTCAAATTTATTTGGCCATGACATCAGCATAGTGAGCTCCCAAACCATCCATAATCTCAAACAGTAAGAATCACTATGTCTACGAGAGAAATTAGAGTAAAGTAAAAAAGTTAAGAAGAAAGGAAGAAGTTTTACCAAGCAATAGAAACAGAAGAAATGAAGACGCTTTCAGTAGAAATCAATGCTCAGTCAACCCAAAAATAAACCCACCAACGGGAGTCTTGCTGCCACGTACTCGTCGAAGAAGTGTGAACATTGTTTGAGCATTCTCAGTGGGAGCCTGAATTTAGTGGATCTAAGGATAAGTAGAGAATATACTCATTTGCAAGTGATTTGCGGTTTCTTTTCAAATGGTATGCACCACAATTTGCTGCAAGCGAGAGTGTGCACGAACGCATGAATGGAATAGACCCCTCAGCGCATATCGGGCGTAATTGGGACCGCCTCTTAATGCATTCCCCCACCAATGACGCTCACTGACGTTATCATGATCACAGGTGGATTGCCCCTTCGTGATGCCAGCCCCCCTCCCGCTTGAATAGCGTTTCGAAGGAAAAAGTGGGCGGAGTTGGGCTGCATCGACTCGACTTCCGGAGATCAATAACACTAAAACAACCAGGGTGGTGGCCGGGGCTGGTACAAAGAATGAGGGAAGGGGCCGTATTGGAGGCAAGACTGATGATGGTGGTGGAATCGCATCGTCGTCCGCCCTATTCAAGAACGAAATGTGGCAGTTAAAATTCAGAAAAAAAAAGTGCGAACGTCACGTGTGCTCGCGAAAGTCGTTTTGGCCAAGTAATCCTACTCCATCTTTGGGCACAGCGATAAGAACTGCATAGTACTCCGCGTGGACAGCAGTTCACATCGAAGTTGCTAATGCGGGTAAATTTTTTAGCTGGTAGAGAGATGCTGTAACCATGACCCGACTCTGTCCAAGCATTTATTATCCTTCAGCGACACAGTTAGATAAGAGTAAACCTAGGCCTCGCGCTTCGTCACGCGCGCGCGTTGACTCACACCACGACCCTAGAAAGGAATACTCGGCCTTGAGAGGTAGCGCACTGGGATGGAAACTCGTCCTGGATGATTATGCGAAGCGGCTTCAACCAGATGAAATGAGCGAATACAGCTGCTTAGTTGCAACAAAGACCATCTTTGTGGGCGGAACTGTTGGATTTCATATCCCTCGTGTTGAAAACCGACTTACCCTACCTGGCCGCGGAATTCCTAAGCTAAGAAAAACCGCTCAAATAAACGATTACATCTGCTGTCATCCACCTAGAGAGCATGTTTGGGGCCATGTGAACGTGAACGAGCCCGCCACCTGCCCAGCCTTTCCATAACCTATGTGGCTTTTATTAAGGATCAAAACTAAATCTGTACCTGGCAGTCAGGCCATTCTATCCACTGATAATGGCTTATTGTTCTGCTGTAAGCGAGGTATTTCAGTTCAAGTGTCGATACCAATAAATCGTTTTCTTGACAGCGAGACTGCAAAAATGTAGTTGGTTGTATTTTGAACATTCCATGTTCTATTTCAATAATTGGGAACAAGTGGTGCAACAGTTCGTGCCGCCTACAGTAAACCCAATTTCTGCGGCGGAGGGACGTTCTGGAGGGTGCACGAGAGCGGAGGCGAAATGCTCCACGCAATCCAGGGATTCTCCCCTTGTATGCAAACGGAATCCTTGTGCGCGGCACATACCATCGCACCACACCGATTTGCTGGGTCTATTCCAATGAGATGGGCTCTGCCCCTCTCATTATAATAGACCCAGCAAATCGGTCTTTCAGGACATGGAGCGTTTTCTTTTCGAAATGGTTTTCTGAACGTTGTAGGGGCTTATGTGAGGAACACAAAACTATCCATTTTTCCTGAACGCCTCCACGAATGTCAAAACAGTGCTGGAGAAATGGTCGTGATGACAAATTTTTGCAATTTCTTCAATTCCAAATTGCCGCAAAACACGACAATGACATCTATTCTCGACGATGGCGCCATTTGGCGGCAATCTGGGGGCGCCAAACTATATTGCAAAAATTAGTCATCACCGGGGATCGAACTCTGGACCATTTCTTCACCACTGTTTTGACATTCCTGGAGGCGTTCAGGAAAAATGGATCATGGTTCTGTGTTCCTCGCATGAGCCCCTACAACATGCAGAAAACCATTTCGAAAAGCGCTCCATGTCCTGAAAGACCTTCTTGTTAGACCCAGCAAATACTACTCGTGAAGAGTAAATATTTTCTATGAAGTGTGCAAAATTTGACGAACCCGCAAAAATACAGTGAGTTTACCATTGACACAGGAAAGGGGAATGTTGGGATGGCTGCAAATGCATTAATAGAAATGAACAAAAATTGCCATCAGCTATATTGAAACTACAAGTTAATAGCATCTAATTTGAAGGCGAAGTTGACGATGAAAAGGTAGCTCATCAGAAATTGTAGTAGAGGATTGAACCGTGGATCCAGAACCCGATTAACGGAACCACTTTTGGCCGATGATTTGCGCGTTAGACAAGGTCTCATGGACTCTGCTCAACGTTAACGCTCTCTCCACTTGAGCGGCTAGGATCAGACGGCGAGGGAATAATGACCGTATAGAAGGGTTTTATTGTCCTCGGTTCTTTTTAATTGAAACGAATGTGGAACGCAGACCTCGAAAAATATTCGGCACACTTCCGTTTTCCATTTTCAACAGTTCTGCAGAGCATGATTATGGTTTCCACTTTCTCCTGCCAAATCATCCTCCAGAATTCGGGCACCGTTCTGGGTAGAGGGCCCTAAAAACCAAATTTACTCTTCTCTCCGCTGATTATTGTTAGCAATGCAGCTATAGTGGGGCAAAGCTATTATATATTGAAAGATAGAACAGAGTATTGTTGCAGTCAAGGTCAGAAAGCAATGGCTCCACTTAAAGCCACAGGTTGGGATTAGGTTTCAAGAAGTAGTCCTAGAGTAAGAAAGAAGGGATCCTTAAGTCCACGATCCGCGATACTGTCTCGACTCAAAAGTGCGCTGCAAGAGCTCGAGGCCTCGTCTCGAGCGCTGCCGACGCTGCCACACTATCAACCGCTACACACGTGTGGTTTGCGCCCTCTCGCGTACGATATGTCCTCCCACGTTTTTCCCTCTCTAGCAGCGCTGTCTTCAATCATACAACAGCCGATTTCACAAAGGAAATTTCCAGTGTTTTCTGCGACGCTTCTGCTTCTTTTTTTACTCAACTCACGTTCCTCATCCCACTTCTTGTCCACATTTCAAACAACATAACACACCGATTTGATCCCGACCTGTGCCTTTAAGTGTTCGAGAATGTGTATGTCACGGCAATGTATCTCACATGATTCATAAGAAAATATCTTGATTTTTCGTAGCAAATTAAATACGCTACCTGTGTCAGAATGAACTCGTTTCGTAGTAACGGATATGCTACACGGATTTGCATGAATGTAACCTCCACCGTCTTCAAAAAGCAAGAATTCGAGTAATATTCGCGTAGAGTCCAAGCAGGGAATATCTGGAACAAAATGGATATTCACATATATAGTACGAGCGTTAACTATGACAAACAAGGCTTACTGCTGTATCTGTTTTTGAAGACATTGGAAGGATCAGATGACACGACGAACTCCTTCGGGTCAGGTTGCGGTAACGAGTAAAACTGTTGGCGTAGCATATCAGGTGTGAGAGTCTCACACTGAAACAATCTATCACTTAACAACACTTCATTTCCTCGAAATTGCCTATATCAACGTCTTCATAGAGGTAAACCTGCAGTCCAAGGTACATTGCACGACAAAAGTAGTGGACACGATGACTGAAAGGCGGAGCGGTTTCATTGGGCGTGACTGGCGGCAAGACGTTGGAAGGAGTTCCCAGCCATACAACAAGCGCACTGAGTGATCTAGTCCAAAAATGACACCAAATGACGTCGAAAACGCTATGCCGTCTGGTCTTCGCGTTCACTACCTTTAAACTGGGTAGACATTCCTTCCGTGAATGGGAGCGAGCTGTCTGAAGTCTCGCACATACATAGTTGTACTCTCTCTTCACTTTCTCCTCATTTTTCCTGTAGTAGTGGTCCACCTCCAATTTCGATCTTCATTTTTGACCTAAACAATATCAGCTTATGGCCGTTTAAAGGCAGTATTTACGATAAAAAAGCAACCCATTCCAAATTAAGTTCAAGATGGTGGACGGTACAAAAAAGAA